TCCCTAAAAATATTAGGAACCGAAATCGAGAACGAATTGGGTCCCAAACAGTTGTTGGTTCCAGTCATTTTTGTTTACTAGTAAGATGAACGTGCGTTGCACGTTTGTTGGATAATGTTAAAAATAAATGTAAATTTGAGTGAAATTCATTTGTAAACATAAATATATTCATAAGTTGGTTGTAAAAGAAGCTCAACCACCAAAAGCTCTACTCACAACAGCTATGCCAGAAACACTCTAACTTAACATGTTTGGTAAACAAAGTTACTTAAAAGTAACTCTTGCAATTTTTTATAGCTAAACATGCTATAAATCAACAAATATATATATAGTAAATAAATAATGGTTAAGTAAAGAATAAATTATCCAATTTTGTTCAAGCAAATAATTGTTTCTTGGCACAAATTCACCCTGAAGAAACACTTCCAAATTCACAAGAAAACATAAATGGGTCAAGAAGAAGATCGGTGGGTGGCAATCCCGCCGCCGCAGCCGTTTGTGAAGTCACTGAAGAACACTCTAAACGAGACATTCTTCCCCGACGATCCACTCCGGCAATTCAAGAATCAGCCACCGTGCCAAAAGTTAATATTTGGGTGGCAATCCCACCGCGGCAGCCGTTTGTGAAGTCACTGAAGAACACTCTAAAACACACATTCTTCCCCGACGATCCACTCCGGGATTTCAAGACCCAGCCTCGGTGCCAAAAGTTAATATTAGCCCTTCAATATCTCTTTCCCATCATCGAATGGGGTCCTAAATACAACCTTAACCTTTTCAAGTCTGATCTTATTGCCGGAATCACCATAGCCAGCCTTGCAATTCCTCAAGGAATTAGTTATGCAAAACTTGCAAACTTGCCACCAATTCTTGGCGTATGTGAGTGAAAACATACACTATTGAGCTTAAGTTGATCAAAAGTGCTTTTCCAATACTGACTTATTTTTGCTTGTTAATTTGATTACTGCCACAGATTCAAGCTTTGTTTCGCCATTAATATATGCAATCATGAGAAGTTCTAAGGGCTTAGCAGTGGGGACTGTTACTGTTGGATCACTCCTTACAGCTTCTATGTTAGGCAACGTAGTGAATGCAAATGAGAATCCAAAACTTTATCTTCATCTTTCTTTTATATCTACATTTTTTCACTGGCCTCTTCGAAGCTGCTCTGGGCATTTTCAGGCAAGTTAAAAGTTGAAATGGATGAATTTATTTATTTAAGTATCGGGCACCCCAACAATTTTAGTAAATGGTAGTAACTCAATTTAAATCCAGATCTTTATCTGGCTCTAGTAACATGTTAAATCACCTCGTTAGAAATCTCGATCTATTGACTATTAAGCATATAAATGTTTTTGTTTTATAGGTTTAATTAATATTAATAATTTTTATGTGTAATAATATTTGGCAGAATATGCACAATAAAAAAAAAATGACTTTAAAAAAAAACATTATTTGTATTTATAAAAAAAAAAAAAATTTGCATGGAGGTGCCTCATGTCTCTGTGCACAGAGACACACCCCGTGTCTCCGTGCGCGCGCATGGAGGCACAGCGTGTCTCCATGCGCTCACACGGAGACATGGGGATATGTCTCCGTGCGCGCATGGAGCGCACGGAGGCACAGCGTGTTTCAGTGCGCACACGGGGATGTGTCTCCGCACGCAGAGACACGTTCTCATGTCTCGGCACGGAGACACGACCCTTTCAATGCCTTTCTGATTTTCTTCTGCCATCTCTTCACCTTACTCTCGTTTCCATAGTATGAATCTTGAGTCATCAAAGCCTTTCTGATTCTGCCTGGCTCAGTCGCCCTATGCTACTGGCCCTTCCTTGTTGGTGCTTGATTCTTGAGGCTAGGAAGACAAAAGAAGAGTTTTTGCCCTCAATCAGCTTTCTGAACTAAGTACTGTGGAAAAGTGAGCTTTGATAATCCTAAGTACTTTTTCGAGTAAGCTCGTGATCTATAGACACGAAAGAAGGATACCATTACATTTTTGTGAAAAATGACTTTCCTACTTTCAAGTTTGAAGTTCGATGTTAACACTACGCCAAAAAACACCATTTACAACATATAAAAGGCAACATTCGGTAGTTAAATGTTGCTAAAAGGGTCTATCGCAACATTCTAATACGTGAATGTTGCTATTGCTTAACAGTGAGTTTTGACAACATTTTTTAAGTAAATGTTGCTAATGTAGCCTTTTTGCAATGGTTTGGCAGTGTTGCGAAATTTTTTACCTTTGGCAACGTTTTTTAAACGTTGCGA